TGAGTTTGAATAATAGTAAAACATAGTTTTATTAATCAAAACTATAACCACATTTATTTAAAAACTACAAAATAAAATGTAAATTTTGTGTTAAAATTAAAAAAAATACCCATTCCGTATACGCCTCGCAGACGTAGATTATACTTTTAGGGTTAACCCTTTCAGTACAAAAATTTTAAATATGTATACCGGCTAATTTTGGACCGTTCATTTTAAAAATCACATACAAAAATGTGTAAAGCTTTGAGGTTTGCGGTCATTCAGGGTCCTTTTTAATGGTCAGTGATATCCTAGGTGTTTAAAAAAGAAAGGGATCTCAGCTATTTGTATTTTTTGCTTTCGTGAAATATATTTTAAAACTATGAATAATGAGGCAAATTCTGGATTTCGTACGAATCGAAAATTTGAAATTTTTTATAGAAAATCATAAGAAAATTTCATGATTTTCGATTCGTACGAAAACAAGAATACGCACCAATACCTAATAACTTTTCCGAATCTCAATTCCACGGAAATATGGTTAATATTTTTCAGTAGATTATATTACTCACTATCGACCTTTCTGCCGCTTTTTACTTTTTTGACGAACACTACTAACTAAACTTGTCAGAAATAAGTAATTATTCGTTTAGTCAGTGAACTGTGTCAGGATAAGAATTCAGGATTTGTTTTCTTACGTTTTCAATTTTATACTTTTTACAGGTCTATTCTGCGCTGGTAACATAAATTTAATAACCGGTAATTAAAGTGTCTGTCAATTTTTAAACCTTTTTCGCATTCTGTGCTCTCTTGTCACCGGTAAATTTGGTTACCATCTCATAAGCTGGTAACAAAATATTGCCCCGTGAAATATGCAATACAGGAATTTCCACAAATCTTCATAGCTGAGTTGCTGAATATTTTCACTGCATTACCAACGTACTTAGAATCGCAGTGACAAGAAGTGGTAACATTTTTTGGTAATAAAATTTTCCGGTCACAAAATCTTCGGTAACGTGCAGAATAGACCTGTTATGTAAACAAAATTTCTATCAGCTGTTCGTCTAACTTGCAAGTTTCTGCAAATTTAGAACATTTCGCCGGAATTTCGCTGTTGGACATTTATTACTGGAGGTTTTAAACGAACGTACCTATTGACTATCCAACATTTGACAGAATTGTTACGAACGGCTTTGACCTAACCTAACCTAAAACCAGATTTTGAAAATCTCGCCAAAGGCATCTTTTGAATTTTCTTTTATATTTATCTTACGTACAATAGAATAATAATAAAATTAATGTTTTTCATTTCTAATAATTTTATTTAAAAATAAAATTTTTGTTTTTCTTGTTCTTTTTTTGTGGCTCTTTGTAGCATTTAGAACTTAGATGTGGCTCTTTTCGGCCTCGGCCTTGCCCACCCCTGCTATATACATTTTCATACAAGGCAGGATTAAACAGTATTAAAAATATGCTGCAGAAACACAACAGCAAACAACAGCTGAGCTAAGAAGCAATGGCATGCTATAACAATATGTTTGAGATAGAATGACATGGCACAGCAATGCATGAAATTTTTGAAAATTACATTTTAATAGATACGCTGGGAAGAAGTTAGGAAAATGTTTAAATTTATATTTTGTTGTTACCTACTTCACCGATTTGAAATCTGAAAACTATACCTTTCATGAGCATGAAATGGTATTATAACTTTGGTCCGATATTTGTAAGTACCAGAATAGATAGAAGAAGAGATAGACTCATGAAAATGTGTACTTACATATGTATGTGACCAGAACATCGAGCTGAGCCGACTTATATGGCATATGGCAACCGAGTTGGGTGGCCACTGGCTGAAATGGTTTTACAGATGGCAACTGCAAGCTGGCAACTGAGTTGCTATATTGGCAACTGCATTTTTGTGGTCGCTGCGGTAATAATCGAAAATTGTATACCTAAATATAAGGTAAACTTCAAAGCGACGCCCATGGAAACTACTACGAAAGATTTTCGCCGCCCTTTTTCGAAATTTTATTTTCAGTGAAAGAAATACTTATAAGGATTAACCATTATACAATCATTTTTAAAAGCAAGTTTCAGTTCTTCTTATCCGCCATGTTAGCTATCTGACAGAAAACGTGTTTCGTATTTTTTGCTGTACCAACTTTTCAAAAAAAAAATCCAGCTTTTGACGTTGGAAAAATAAAACAAAGGAAAGCCAAGCAAATAATTAGAGAAAATTTCTAATTATATTCAACAATTTTATTGAGCTCTAGGCCGTTTTTTAATTAAAAACTATCGTTGACAAGCAACAATAATTTTTATTTGTTTGAAAAAATGGTAGAAGTGATAGCTGTTTCCGAAATCACCACATTTCGCCACCAGACTTCTTTCAGAAAGATTCGAACCGACGATCCCACTGACTCAGCCAGTTGCCTACGCACTGTGCAAAGTTTGCCTAGTAAATTATGATTGCTCGTTTTCCACTTTTTCATTTTGTTAATAGGGCTTCCACGCACGAGGCGATTTTTCAGGCAACAAAAGTTGAATGAGAAGTTGAAAGTGAAAAAGTTGCCATCCCTATTCAGACGAGGCGATTTTCGATTCAACACGAATTGTTGTTTACATTATTTAAAATGAGTTTAAATCGCAAAATTTTATCAATTGGCGTAAATTTGGTAAGCTAAGCGTTGGTAAAAGTGCTTATAGCGAAGCTGAAAGATAAACTAAAAGTAAAAAAGCGAATTGGGGGCATCTGATAACTTATACCGGGAGTTGGCAATTGAAGATGTTAATTATTTTAAGGAATGCTTGGGGATGAACCCTGCACAATTCGAATATTTGCTTGCAAAAGTGGCGCCGCTTATTCAAAAGCAGGACACAATAATGCGTGAGGCACTTACGCCTCGAATAAAGCTACAAATAGCATTGAAGTTTTTGGCCACAGGCGACAACTATTTAAGCCTGTCAGAGAGCTTTCGAGTTCCAAAGTCAACTATCTCTGAGCTCCTAAAAGAAGTACTTGATAGCATTTATGCTATTCTGCAAGAATATATTCAGGTAAATATAAGCAGGTTTAGTTTTACGGTAATCGGTGGAAGTGAAGCAGTGCGACTAGGGCCGGCAGTAGAAAATCTGGGGTGGGTAGTAAATATGTCCTTGGTATGATGGACTATTGAAACTTTTTGCATAAACATTTAGACATGGTTGGTTGGTGGTTCATTGAAGTGGCGAATTTAACAACTACCCTAATTTAAAGTGATAAAAAGTCGAAAACTGGGTTAGTGTCACTTATGTCTGTTACATACATCGCAGTAGCAGGGTTTTCCTAAAAGCCTCGCAGTTTTAGTCCTACATAGTGTTGGAAAATCACAGAGCAGATGCTCCACCATTTATTCTGCATCTGGTGGATTACAGCTACGACAAGAAGTGTTGTGTTGCAGTGCTAGTCTTGCAGCATGGATTCTCACGGCCCAGTGCCATGTGTAAACATCGACTCCATGCATATAACACGGTGTCGGTAACGTCGATAATGATTTTAATCGGAGATTAGAGTCAACCAGGCTTTGAGCAAATGTCCCTTAGGCCCGTTTTCACCATCTCTGGTCCACCCTAATCTCAAGTTAAACATCGCTATCTACGTTACCTACTCCATTCAAATAACTTTGAGTCGCTAATATCGATAACAATGTTTAACTGGGGATTAGTGTTAACCAGGCTGAATATTTTGGTTTCCGTTTCACTGAATTCTCATCATCTTCCAAATAAAAGAATTACACCCTTTATTTCATCTTTTATACTAAAAAAATTTTTATTAATTAATTAATTTATAAAAGAAATACATATTTTTATTAAATATTTACAGTCAGTGTGAAAAATATAAATACCCTGCCGTTTTGACGATTTTCTTTATATATATGTTCCATACCAGTTTTGGTTAGTTTTTTTTATGAAAATATAGTTCAGTCAACAACAAAAACCATTAGGATCAATTTTTAAACTTCATATAGAACTCGGGGAAAATTAAAGAAATAAAAAAATTTCCCCGAGTTCTATATGAAATTTAAAAATTGATCCTAATGGTTTTTGCTGTTGACTGAACTATATTTTCATAAAAAAAAACTAACCAAAACTGGTATGGAACATATACAGATGCGTTCAACTAATTAACAGCGAAATTCAAAACGATATTGCTTGGAAATTATGTTTATTTATTTATTTTTAATAATTTTCATTTAAAACATAATTCAATCTATATCAGAAACCACAATAAAAAAAGTTGCAAAGTTTGCACAAATTGCAAAAAAATGAATCAAACTTAAAAAAGTTTTCATCAAAATTTAAACATTTTTAATTAAATTACTAAATTTTGGAGTATGCAGTTTTGTAGCCCATTCAATTCTAGTATAATAAAGAGCAAGTTTCAAGTCGCTAAAAATTACCGTTGATTTTTTAGAATTTTTTTTGGGGAGGGTGTTGCGCATTTTCTTCCATATAACACATTATCAAAATTTTTTTTTATATGGAAAAAATCCGCAACACCCTCGACAAAAAAAATTCTAAAAAATCAACTGCAAGTCCTAGGTACTTCAAACTAAAATTTAATGGGCTACAAAACTGCATACCCAAAATTTAGTAATTACTTTAATTAAAAATTTTTAAATTTTGATGCAAATTTTTTGAAGTTTGATTCATTTTTTTGCAATTTGTGCAAGCTTTGAAACTTTTGTTATTGTGGTTTCTGTTATAGATTGAATTATATTTTAAATGAAAATTATTAAAAATAAATAAATAAACATAATTTCCAAGCAATATCGTTTTGAATTTCGTTGTTAATTAGTTGAACGCATCTGTATATGTTCCATACCAGTTTTGGTTAGTTTTTTTTTATGAAAATATAGTTCAGTCAACAGCAAAAACCATTAGGATCAATTTTTAAATTTCATATAGAAATATAAAGAAAATCGTCAAAACGTCAGGGTATTAATATTTTTCACGCTGACTGTATATATTAATATTAAAAAAAAAAACACTTTCAGAAGTATTCGTCTTCTTGTTGCTCAAGCGTTTCTACTTCTATTGTATCTTGTATGAAGAAACTGTCGTCAATAAACGAATCGTCTTCATAGACATCCTGTGTTACGCCAGAGCTTTGTGCCGAATATGTTGAATATTTTCCCGATTCCGAGCTCTCTGGTCGGAAATTACCCACTGCTGCAGCTCTCAATATTTTCAGGCGACGTTGGGACAAATAATTATTTACAAAAGCCTGCGAAGAAATCGCTTCTTCCAGAGGCATACTTCGCAGCTGGTTTGCCACGTGACTCCCGAATACCTCAAACTCGTCCGGTTCTTTCGTATGCGATATGTTTTCCAATTTTGTCACCGCCTCCAAAATTGGTTCAACATCCTGCGACCGGTGTTTTGCCTGTGTGGTCCTTTTCGCTCTTTTAGCCTGGGAGGAGGAAGTCTGTGAACCCGATGGTTCATCATCGAAAAATGACGCATCACTTTCCCTGGCGTCCATCTGCAATAAAAAAGAAAAATTGAAAGATACTTATATATACTTATATTTTTTTATTTTTATTTCAGGTTCCTAATACAACAGAGGAATAGTTAGAGGTGCAAAGGGATTTCAACGATAAGTGGCAGTTCCCTTTCTATTGTGGCGCTATTGACGGGAACCACGTTGTAATAGATAACCCACCGCATGGAGCATCGGATTACTATAACTACAAGGGTACTTACAGCGTAAGTGCTATTATATTACATTTACATTGGACCAAAATGCGTGATTTGAAATCAGTCATTTGAAGGTGTTTACACTGCTTGACCCGCATTTGCTTTGACTTCTCATCAAATGAAAAGGGAAGACAAAAACAAAATGTATGTAAACAAACACTACATTTATTATATTGTTAACGCTTTTTGGACACAAAAAGGCAATTATTCTTTGATTAAACTAAAAATGTGTAAAGCTCTTGTATAAATTAACAATTTTTACACACAAATTTCAAAGATTTATTTATTTCGTTGTGTTTGTTTTGTGTTTGAAAAATTCCAAATGTCAAAGACAAACCAAAGCTTTTGTGGAACTTTTGTTTCTGAGTGCGTTCAATAAAATAGTACGGCAATTGGAACGCATTTGTTTCGTGATTTTGTGTAAATGCGTCGAAATGCGTCATTCTGGAAATGTGAATTTGTATGGAGAAATGCGTGATTTGGCCTCGCATTTGAGGTTTCTCGCCCAAATGACGCATTTGGGCTCAATGTAAATGTAATATTATTGTCGGTACGAATGGGCGCATGAATGACGCAAGCATTTTAAAAAAGTCCCGATTTTATAAAGAACTGCAGGAGGATGAGTTGGGATTACCAACTAAGGGTGTCTTCGTTGGCGATGACGCGTTCCCCTTAACAACGAGGATCATGAAGCCGTATTCCAGGCATGATGCATTGCCTCACAAAGAAAAAATTTTCAATTACCGGCTGTCGAGAGCTAGACGAATTATTGAAAATGCCTTTGGGATAATGGCTTCTAGAAATAGAATTTTTCGAAAGCCTATATCTGTGTCCCTAGACAAAACCGACAGCATAATTAAAACGGCATGCGCTCTCCATAATTGGCTCCGAACAACCAATTTAAATGAAACTGGCTTAGTCGATCAGGAAGACATAAACACAGGAGCAGTTCACCAAGGAATTTGGAGAAGCATTCCTTCAGGGGGCTTAGCAGAGCTAACCACGCAATTGTCTTCAAACAACTACTCGAGAAGTGCAAAGGAACTTCGCGATAAATTCGCAAACTATTTTGTAGGCTCAGGAGCTTTTCCTTGGCAAGACAAAATGGTTTCTTAAGCCATTAAGCTTTCAATTTAAGCTACAATTTCAATTTAAGCTACAATTTAATGGGCTATAAATCTGCATATCAACAATTTTTCTACCAATTCTTAATAAACTGTTCTTTTGTTTGTTAGTTTTCTACAAAATTGTAAATTTAAACTAATATGGTTTTTGATAGTAAATGAGCCGTATTAAAAAAAATATCAACATTAAAGAAACAAAAGAAAAGTGGTCACAATGTCGTGTCCCTATTATTTTTCACATGACTAAATCTAAATTTACTCACTGTACATACTTGCATTAAAGATTGAAACTGGAAAACTAAATATTTAGTTTAATTTTCATAAGTTGATAAAATTCACGAAGAGTATCATTACTTTCTAACCAAGCTTCGAATATTTATGCTTAAGCGCATGAATCAAAATATAAATCAATGCTTAGTGGAAACTCGGCACAATTTTTCTTTAAAAGCTCCACATGTAAATGTGTTGTAATCTTTGGCGACGGTGCAGGGTTCTCATGTCAAATGTCAAAGCGAAGTTACTATATGTAAAACCATGATGCAATAATGAAAGTTGTTATACGTTGGTTTTGCATTTATTAGATCGTTTCGTTAGTGTTTTCCTGGGCGACCTGTGCTGGTATTGTGATTAAGAGCTAATACACGTAAGTTACAACATATTATTTTGACTTTATTGATGAACCATTCCATTTGCAGCATCCTCTGGTGAACTGCAGCTGCGGTCGAATTTGATTGTGTGCATCATCCTGCAGAGACTACTATGGCGACTCCAATCGGGACCAAAATTTATATGTGATATATTCACCTACGGTAGTATCGATTTTGGGTATGAGTCTCTATATAGGTATCTGAACTTTGGCCCCTCTGCGACACGTCTTAACCGTCTCCAATCGGGACCAAAATTTGTATGTGATATCTGTGACCGTGGTGTTACCGATTGAAGGGGTGAACTGAAAAAAATCACTCATTTGATTTTAAGGACCAGCCTAATGTACATACATATCACATATATTAACATAGATATGTATACAAAATTAATGATGTGTTCATAAATTTACCATTAATATCTGAATATAATATATATCTCAATATAATCTGAATATAGCGGTCAAATCTTTTTTCTCCAAATTTTTAAACTGTATCGCTCTTTGGCCTAGATTTTATTGAAAATAGCATATAAAGAAAATATGTATAGGCAAAAAAACCATGAATTTTTAAAATTTTTAGAAAAGAATTTGGCCTCTATACTCCTATCATATTTTCTTGTACTTCCAAAATACAATATTGAGCTAAGGTAGTTCGAATTTTAGCTGTCACAACATAAAACACCTTTCATTATTGCATCATGATATAAAACAACAAAATAAGTATAAATAAGCTTCAACTGCATATACAGTGTAATAATAAAACTAGCAACTAGGCTGCACATTTGTTGTGAAAACCGGGGGCGTTACGAACTGGCGTACCGTACTGATAAGTTGGAACAGGCGCAACAGGAAGTGGAAGAGGTTTGCAAGAAAACCTTTAGTATAACTTAATTCTAGTGTGTATTTTCTAATTTGCAGTGCCAAATGAAACTTCAGCGATGCCAACAGCAGTTCCTGCTTTTTGTTTTGGTGAAATTACGTTATTTAATGAAAACCTAATAATTAAAGCAAAATCAATGCCTGTCTTCAGATACATATTTGGATCTTGTGCATACGCTCTTGCATTTGCATATTCTTTGCATTTTTAAAATCACAACAATAAAATGCACACGGTTTGCATGGCAGTAAGCATTAAATTTGCAAATGCAATTCCACCTGCAAATCGAAGTCCATTTCCACAACATCCTGGACAGCCCTACTATGTTTATTAATCCCACTGGGCGATACTAGTTTTAATAAAAAATCTAAGCAGGGTGTTGAATTATTTAAGTAAAGTTGTCTTTTAACCGCTGGACCTCTTCCATTCTCAAAGGTATTCCACATTTCTTGCGCATATAACTCCGGCTATGCCGATCACAGTGTATTTGCGTAGAACTCGTTGAATTTATTAATTAATTACTGACTGAAAGTTATAAAGTTAAGTTTTAAAATAAAGTTTGGACCCTTGACTACAAGTGCGTGTATATTTTTTTTGGATCGGATCAGCCATTCGGAAACAATAGCCCGAAATCATTGGGCAAATAGCTAAGCAGTACCCGTCAACCAGCCACATTGTATTTGCGTAGAACTCGTTGAATTTATTAATTAATTACTGACTGAAAATGAATGGCTATTTATGACATGCAACGCCCGTACCGCAGGAAATGCCCATATATTGAAATATATTTAAAAATACTTCATGGGCGTAGCCAGGTAGGGGCAGGGGGGCGCTCGAGCCGCCCCCCCCCTAACTTTCAAATTTTCCTTATATATATATATAATAGTACCTTGAAATACCAGCTTAATAGGGTCGAGGAACCCCTACCCCTCTCTAAATTTCATTCTGGCTACGCCGATGAAATACTTACCATATTAGTTTTTGAGGGCCTTCCTTCGGCAACTGGCTTCAAAAATCGGTCCGCCACCTCGAACCATGACAGCCTTGGGACATATATGTCGTCCGTACCAGCCCCACTCTTTTTGGATGATGCCACTTTAGCTGCTTCCCTGGTGAACATCGTACGCAAACTTTTAATTTTGCCCTTTAGCTCCTCCGTAGACAGGGTGAGCGACAACTCCTGCTTTATGGCATTCAAAGCTGATGTCCGAAATGAATTGTTTTTGTACAATTTATTTTGCGGACCCCACAAACATGGGTGCTTTTCCTACACCTCCAAAAACGAAATTACATTAATTTTATTAATTTTAAATTATAGTATTTTTCCCAAGTTTAATAAAACTACTTTTACCAAGCCACGCCAGAATACAATTTCAAAATGGTGATATGTATAAATAATGTAAACAAACACAGGGTTGCAGGAAAATAAGTTGAACGAGCTCAAAGTTGGCTGGCGACCAACTTTGTTGAAAGCGTTTAGTTGAAAGGCCGTTCGGACGAGGCGATTTTTGCTTTCACATAAAAGTTGCCTGAAAAATCGCCTCGTGCGAATGCCCTATAAGCCAACACAATCAAGCGCAGCTATTCCGCTGCAATACACTTGATCATGTGGTTGTTGGTTTTTGTTAATAATTATATTTTTAGAAGTTTAACTTTTAGGTGTGCTCGTCCTTAAGTTGTTTGTATTTTTGTTATTTTATAGCCTTATAACAATTATATTCAACAATTTTATTGAGCTCTAGGCCGTTTTTGAATGAAAAACTATCGTGGACAAGCAAATATAATTTTTATTTTTTTGAAAAAATGGTAGAAGTGATAGATATTTCGGAAATCACCAATTTCCTCATCAGATTTCTTTCAGTAGGATTCGAACCGACGATCCCACTGAGTCAGCCAGTTGCCTACGCACTGTGCTAAGTTCGCCTTGTAAATTATTGTTGCTCTTTTTTCACTTTTTCCATTTTGTTAAGCCAACACAATCAAGCGCAACTATTCCGCTGTAATTCACACTTGATCATGTCGTTGTTGGTTTTGTTGGTTTTTGTTAATAGTTATATTTTTAGAATGTTTAACTTTTAGGTGTGCTCGTCCTTAAGTTATTTGTTTTTTTGTTATTTCATGGCCTTATAACAATTATATTCAACAATTTTATTGAAGCCTAGGCTAAAAACAACAACAAAAAAACAAAGAAATTTTCTAATATCTTTTTTTAATAATTTTCTTCACAAAAAATTATGAAAAAATTAACTGCTGCTTCCGTGGATATTGCAACACACAGGATACACGTTAAGGATACAGCTATAAGAGCCACCGCACACCAAAGACTTTATCGGCCGCCTATTTAAATAGTCCAGTGAAACCCGCACAAGTACCCCCCTTGTGAAAATTACATAATATTGCATTATCTGTTTTTTTAATAAAGTTTTCCTTTATGTGTTTACGTGTTTAAATAATGTTACGATCTTGGTTTAAAATGGTAAAATAGGACTTATTTGGGTATGTAAGTTAACAAGAAGATGTAACTACATCACAAATTATGTTCGCTTAAGTACCCACTTAAGTACCAGCATCGAGGTACTTAAACGGGTTCTTTTAAGTAACCAACCCGCTTAAGTACCTCAAAAAGCTGACATTTTTCGAGATGTACATAAGCGGGCTTTACTGTAGTCGCTTGAATTATGCACATGAAGATGTATGGAGGTGCGCACACTACACCAACTTAATCGCTCCGACCGATTAGTTGTGATGCAATTAGGGATGTCGAAAAAACATGATGCATCGAAAATTTTCCACTCGATGTACCGATGCATCGATGTTTTTTGAAAACTGACACCTCTAGTACATTGAACCGTCATTCCAGTTTTTAAATTATAAAGAAAAGGGAAGTGACTTTGATCAAAAAATTTAAATGACTCCGAAAAGTTCCGTTAGAAACACAATTCGCTCAGTCGCAGTAAAATATTTAAAATTTTGTACAATTTTGCTAATAACATATTATGTTATGAAACATTATCCCAAAAATCCTATTCAAATCGATGCATCGATGTATGCCCCTTGATGCATCGAAATATATATCGAGATTTTTCGAATCAAAGAAAAACATCGATGTATTTTTGCCACTGACATCCCTAGATGCAATGGAAAGACTAAATCGGCGACCGATAAAGTCCGCGGAGTGCGATGCATCTATTTTCGTTTTTATGATTTTTATTCATGTTAGCAGTGGCATGAATGTATGTATTAAATACGTATATGTATATTAACAAGTAAGAGCAGCGCTGTCTTCGGCTATGCCGAAGGCTTCATACCTTTCATGAACATCTGCAAATTTTACTTTGACAGATTACTGCTTTTGAATACATCTGCATACATCGATAGAGGAGTTACATACTTATATAAAAAATCGCATCTAAACAATCAGAGGTATGGAAGATATACTTTATATGACACCAATCTAAGTGATTTTCACCGCTATGTGATCGGTATGTAAACCGGTAACACAATTTATTGGGTTTAGTTTCCTACATAAAGGAGATATATCGCAAAAACTGGTATCTGAACAATCAGTGCTATAGGAGATAAAGCTTATACAGCATAGATTTTGACGATTTTCTCAGTAGACTTTGTATTATTATTTATAAAATATCTTACGAAATTTATCGGTTTTAGCTGTTCAAATAAAGGAGTTTTACAGTAAAATCCCATATCTGAACAATCAGATGTATGGAAGATATATGTTGTAGTCATCCGATCCTTGTTATTTTCACTGTAAGTATTCTGTTAATAATGAGAAACTTCATGTTCCTAGCTGCATAAATGGAGGAGTTATGATAAAAGACCTCATATCTGAACAATCAGTTGTATGGGGGCTGCAGGTTATAGTGACCCGATCTTTGTTATTTTCGCTGTAAGTCTTCTGTTGATAATGAGTGAAAACAGCGCGAAATTTCATGGTCCTAGCTACATAAATGGATGAATTATAACGAAAAATCTCATATCTGAACAATCAGTTGTATGGGAGCTATAGGTTATAGTTACCCGATCTTTTTAATTTTCACTGTAAGTTTTCTGTAGATAATTATTGAAAACAGTGCGGAATTTCATGTTCCTAGCTATATAAATGGAGGAGTTATAACGCAAAATTTTATATCTGAACAATCCGTTGTATGGGAGCTATAGGTTATAGTGACCCGATCTTTGTAATTTTCACTATAAGTATTCTGTTGATAATGGGTGAAAGTGCTGCGAAATTTCTTGTTCTTAACTACATAAATGGAGAAGTTATAATGAAAAATCTCATATCTGAACAATCAGTTGTATGGGAGCTATATGTTATAGTGGTCCGATTCTTCCGGTTCCGACAAATGATTAATACATTATAAAAATACACCCACCTACCAAATTTCATCCGGATATCTCGAAAACTGAGAGACTAGATTGCATACAAACAGACAGACAGACGGACAGACGGACAGACGGACATGGCTAAATCAACTCAGCTCGACGTTCTGATCATATAAGTATACATTTTCATGGGTCTATCTCTTTTTGTTCTGGTACTTACAAACATCGGACCAAAGTTATAATACCATTTCATGCTCATGAAAGGTATAAAAATGAAGTGATCAGTTATGAAATATATAAATCTTTACATGTTCTGTTAAAAAATATCTAAAATAGCAAGCAGTAGCCACATTGCGTGTTTGTCACAGACACGGTTTAAGGCACAAATTTTGCAGTGAAACTACCTTCTAAAAGTTATTGTATCATGAGCTTTTACAAAATAAATTTATGGCATATATTTCAAAGACACTTTTCGCCATACATACTTATAAGGATGTATAAATTTAATTAACAAAAATCAATAGAAACGCTAACATAGTAGAATACGCTAAGTTTATTAATACCTCCATATTAGAGTACCCGTTTTTTATGTACTAAGGATATTTTGAATATAATTCCTTCTCTTTTGGTTAGGTGATTTAGGTTTAGTGGCACCTTCAGAATTAATAAAATTTATTTTATTTTTATCAATTATGTATACGTTCTTTAAATAACTTATTAGTTTAAAAACACATGCGTGATACCAGTCAATTATTATAAGAAATCCTCCGTACCATGCTTTCACTGAATTCTGTGTTGTTAGATCATTGGTCTCCGTTTGGCCAGTTATTGACCAAAACGATGGTAGATAAATTAAATTAAACAAACCCCTCTTTGCCACACGCGTCAACCGACTTCAATCGCGACGAAAATTTATTCGTAATATCTTTGACTATGGTAGTATCGATTTTGAGTATTAGATGAAAAAAAAATTAATTTTAATTTTTTGAGTCTCTATAGCACACTATTCCTGAATTAGTTAAAAGTTCACTAAAACGTACGACAAAAATTGAAAATGCAACTTTGTTCGTTATCACCTACGTAACCAAAATCCATTTACTCTAAAATCGTATCAGCCTTTTTTGCGAAATATTGACATTCAAGAATTGCGAAATTATAAAAATTTCAGAACAAACTTTTGTTCTCATATTTTTTTTTAATTCGTTGGATATAATTTAGATAACAGTTATAAGTAACTATCTGAACAGCTCTTGGCTTGTTAACACATAATTCTTTTGCAGAGAAATCGTTAAAATGTATTTCTTGGTTTGATTTACTTTGAATAAATATTGTTAGTGTTTCAATGCGTACTGATTTAATAAGTAATTGTGTAATACAATGCGGGACTGAAAGTGTGTGTAGGCAAGTTGAGTTTTATTTACAAATATACAATACACCCACGATTGAGAGAACGACTAAAGAGCAGAATCCTCCTCATACATAGGTTTTGCCGATGGTCTTATTTCCACCTGTGAAATCTCTGCCAAGCGAGCATAATCTTCTTTGATCTTGCAACTACAACATAGGTGCGATGCGTAAGCTAATAAAAGTCCTTATAAGGAAACCTAAGATCACAGGTGAGCGTTTTCTGTTATAGTAGGGCCAAGCATCCTCGCTACCCAACAGGGTGAAGGGTTTTTCCGTACATCGGCTAAATGAGTCGTGTGATATCTTGAATATCGTTTAAATGAAGCTATTGATATCTATACCTACCGTGTTCCTTTTTTTACGGATGTG